GGCGCGTCTTTGCTGGCCTAGAACGAAACCTCGACGGTTACTTCAGAGACCAAGACTTGGTGAAGATATTGACAGAAGCTACCGATGAGGTGGCCATGAGCTTTGGTCCGCATCGTATTCCGCAAGCGTTGAAGGTCATTGAAATCATGAGTATCGAACAAGGTCGTGAGTGGGGCGTGGCCTCTCTTAACGAGATGAGAAGGTTCTTTGGCATGACATCTCACACATCTTTCACCGACATTCATTCCGATCCAGATGTTGCCGCAGCGCTCGAGGTCTTATACGGAGATGTTGAGAATGTCGAGCTCTACGCTGGAGCTATCCTCGAACAGCCAAGCATGCCAATGACTCCTGGATCCGGTCTTTGTGCGGGCACGACCACGACCCGAGCAATTGTGTCACATGCGCTCTCGCTTGTTCGAGGCGACCGGTTCTATACAGTAGACTACTCGCCTCATCATCTGACAGCCTTTGGGTTCAATATGGCATCCAGCGATTACTCTATCGCTGGTGGAGGCGTTATATACAAGCTACTGATGAGAGTCTTTCCCGAATACTATCGTGGCAACTCGATTTACGCACATTACCCACTGACCACCCCACCCGAGATGAGAAGAAGGCAAAAGTCTCTCGGACACGAGATGGATTTCGACTATGACAAGCCTCGCTATGGAGCGCCGCCCACAGTCATCACTGATTACAAGATGATACTTCGCATTCTCCGCGATCAGACCTTGTACACCACAGCATGGACCCATACTTTGCGGCAGTTGGAGTACCAAGAACACGTCCTGATTGGAGATAATCCGGGTGCCAGTAAACAGCAGAACATGATCCGACAGGCTGTTCTAGGCCCCAAAGATTCTATTGACGTCTTTTCGCATTTCCTGAACCTTCGTACCAGCCAACTTGTGCAGACGGACAGCAAGTGGCTTTCCAAAGTTGCTGAAATTGACGCAATCAAAGATGTAGCAGCTCGAAGCTGGACACAGTTTGTAGCATTTCTGTTTCACTTCCCGATCAAGGACTTGGAAGATTCTACAGCCAGCTTTGACGACAAGCAACTTTTCAGCAAGATGACAGCGATTTTCGAATTCGTTCATCTAGACAATACCCCCGCAAAGTCCACGATGCTTCGACGAAATGCGATCGCCGCAAGCGACGAACTGACAAGAGAAGTCAGAACGGTCTGCGATGACATGAAAGCGTCGTCTCCTGTGCAAAGTTTTGACTTTCGCAGACAGCGACACGAGAAGCGTGATCCTCTGCCAGATCATGGAGCGATGGTAATCCAGCGGCTCTTTGATAACGGGGCAAAGGTCAAAGAGGTCGTTTCTTTGTTGGTGATCCTCGCTGTCGATCTTGTCGTATTCAGCACCTTTGCTGTAAGTGTTCCGACCATGCTTGGGTCAGGTTCCTCCTAATAGTGCCTAGTTCTGCCAGATAATCGATCTCTTCCTTTCCGAACCCTACCACTCCACACACTGGCCAGATATTCAGAAGCTAGCCAAAGACACCACACCAGCAAACTCTGAAGTACTACGTGCATACGTCCTCGAAGCTCTTCGTCTTATCACTCCTGCGACCGGCTTCCTCCGCATTCCAAACACATTTCTCACCACCAGTGATTGGCGACACGCAGAAGGTATCTCGAAGGGCGACGACCTTATTCTAGACGTAGCAACTGCATCTCGTGACCCTGAAATCTTCCCAGACCCTGACAGCATCAATCTTGATCGGCCTCAAGAGCTCTATCTACCCTTTCTCGACGGACTGCATGGATCGCTGACCAGGCCTATCATTGTTGCTGGCCTAGTCACCCAATTGCGTATCTTTGCTAGATTAGAAGGTCTCAGAAAGGGGCCGGGTACGCAAGAGACCTTGAGACGGGAGGTTTCAGAGGGTACGATAAGCTTCTTGAGTGAAGCGAAGGACGAGTGGGTATCGTTGCCAGTCAGTAAGTGGATGGTTGCTGCATACAATGTATAGCGAGGCTTCTAATAGTTGCATACAGGCATGCGAGTACACTACGACGCCTTCGACCCAACTGCGTGCGCAACATTGACATAATCAGGGGTCCGGCAGGCAAGATGTTAGTCTAGCTTTCCTTTACCATGATGCCTCCACTACCACCACCATAAACTCAGCATGTATCGCTAAGCTCGCTATTGCTTTCTCATCGTAGACAGATACAATGAAGTTTCATTTCGTCTACCGAGTTTTTGAAAGTGAACAGCAACGACTTGATAGCTTCGCAACTTCGATAGCTACCAGCATCCTTTCATGCTCCGATGTGAATTATGCCAAGCTATCTAGGATCGAAATCCGTCCGATCATAGAAGTGCTGGTTGGAGCCATATAGAATCGGATCGAGTCTCATATCTCGACTCGGGTAGTCCACTTTACACACCGACGCACATTGACAACTTGGTGGTCTGTAGCATAGTCAGTATACGTCAAATCTCAAGTTCAGCTCTAAGACTCACCGTGGTGATGACAGTGTGCCAAGGATTGATGCGATTGCAGCATCGTGGTCATGATCACGCTTTCCTGCGAAGATTTCCTCCCACTTTGTCTGCGTGTCATTCTTTACATAACCAGTCAGAGTTACTTTTACCTCCTCTCCCTTACACTTGTCAATCAGGAAAGGGTAAACGAAGGTACAGATCCAGTCAACAATAGTCCGTTGACAGCAGACGTATGGGGTTTTGTGATCCCAATGCTCCCAGTATTCTCCCCAGGGGCTGCCTTTAGACCCATCTTCAAGACCTCGAAAACGAAGTCGTAGGTCCTTGAGGTTGTGGAGACTGTTCAAGCAGGGTCCAAGAGAATCGGAACTTTTTACAGATATGTAGGGTTCGCTACCCAAAGTCTCTACACCCAAGAAGTCGAACCAGTCAGCGTTCGTGAAGGCAAGTTCTACTTTACTCAAGTATTTGTAATTCATGGCCGGTCCAGGTCGAGAATTGATGGCTTTGTGGAAGATCCCTGAATCAAAGAAACAGCCACGCATGAGCTCCCAGCCAGTATGCAGCACTTCTTCTCGCATCCACGAGCTAACAAGCAAAAGCTCCAAAGCCGGCTCATACACAAAGGATCGGGCCTCTGGTACATGGGACTTGCTCATCTGCGTCCTCAATATGTCCCCTTTGTCATCGAGAAAGATCCACATACTGTAACCCATGCCGAGAGTAAGACGAGCAGTCCGGCAGGCCATTGTGCCTTCTCTGCTGCTTTCAGAATCTTGAGTACTCAATGGATACAGTTCGCCTCCGAGAGCGTACTGATAGATAGGCGTTCGAATCTCGCCAGGAAGATCCTCGAAACGGCGCTTGCTGCCCACGTATTTCCACCAGTCAAACTGAAGGCTATAAGCAGTCCTGCCGACCCAGCCGAGCGGAGTATTGGAAACCTGCTCCAGCCAGTCACCAAAGATTATCCACTTCTCCTTGTCCGGTTCGAAGATGTGGACAGTTTTGGCAGTCGGTGGTGAGCCTTTGGGTAGAATAGTGATCCACTTTGCGTATTTCTGATCGCACCTGTGAAGTTTCCAGTCGTACCTGTGGAGGTTCCTGTTACGCAGCGTCTTCGACCTGAAGTAGTAGCGCTTAATGTCGAAGAGGTTCAGGTTAGGTGGCCACAGTGGAGGTGCGTCGTCGACGGGTCGAATTTAATGCTTCACTGCAAATACAGAGAAATTTTTCTTCTTCTTGGCGTTGAGGACGTAGTACATGGCAGCGAGTACAGGATCGTTGTGATGCCAGCCGTTGTTGAAGTTGATGGTAGTTTCAAGTGTATACCGGCCGACCTGTCCATCCTGCGGACACTTCATCATCTCGATCGAATCGGTGATGTTGTCGTCACGCGCATCGGGAAGGATCAAGTTGTCCTTACGAGGGCGCTCTGCAAGATCACCAGCCGGAGGGTCGAAAATAGCTAGACGGCTGAGTAGGAAGCTCGGCGCTCTAGCATTAAGCTTCGACTTGACCGGCACGAACGATGGCGCTGTGGCGGTAAGTTTTGGGCCCTCGAGGCCGCCATGTTGTCCTCCCGGTGTGAATTGTTGGGCAGCTGGGTTTAAGGACGGAGAGAAATCGTGTTCGTATGGCGGAGACGAGTCGAAAGGTTGAATACCCGATGGTAAAGCAGCAGTCGCAGACCCGCTCGCGTATCGAAGAGGAGCATAGTTCCCATAGCCTGCAGATACTTGACCACAAGGAACCCAAGGATCGGAGGGTACAAACAGTGGTACTCGAGGAGAATTTTACTCAACCGTATTATTGTCTTCGGGGTTCTGGAAGTCATGAGCGGACTCGAAGGTGGAGTTAGAATGAGCCATCTCGTATGCTAATTCGGAGTTGATAGTTCTATACTGCGTTCGAAAGTGTTTTCAGGAAAGAAGAAGTCCGAGATTATATACTAGCAAGGCGTTCCTAGCGCCAGAGAAAGGCAACCATTCTATACATTGGCCTACAGGAGGTGCTTCGGCGAATGGTGGGAGCCTACCTAAAGGCTCCATTTCACTCTTCGTCGCCCTTAGAGTACCCCGCCGTGGTCAGTGGTTTCGACCCGGGAGGCAACGCATCGAGTTTATACAAGCTCTGGACCTGTTCGTTTGATCTTTGCTGCTTGCTATTAGCAACTCTGGATTCTAGACCACAAAAAAGAAGTGCGACAACCGACGTAAGATTGCAGAATGGATATACGCAATTATTGTAGGCCTGACATGTACCTCGTGCGGCTACAACATCTCTTAGTGCCTTCCGCAAACATCTTTTCCTGATTGGACACCGCTGCGTTATGCGTGCGATGCGTTCACCCTTCGCTGGTACTCTGTATCCGAACAGGGAGAGTTTACGGAACAGCCGAAAACTATGCCTAGAAGATGCTTACGGACTTTAGTCTGTCAACCTTCTAGGACATGATTGTTTGGAGACCTTGCATTGCTTTCATCATGTCGTCTCTTCATATATACATACTCTACCACCTGTCTATGCCTCTCATGCGACCACATCGTTTGCCTCTCGTTCTCTCTGCTGCTCTTCCTTCTTCCCCAGCCTGCCAGAGCTCTTGTGGATACCCTCTAGTACTTGCTTGATCTCTTGCAAGAAGCGATCTACCTCCTTCTCTGTACCGACAGTTATCCTCAAGCAGCCTAGACATCCATGCTCTTTTCCTCTGAACCTCACTACGACGCCTTTCTCTTCTGCCAGACCCTCGTATACTGCCAGGGCCGTCTCGTTTGATGGCTTGCCACCTTGATCCGCAGGCGCATCAAGTATCTGGTAGAGCAAAAAGTTCGACTCGACACCACCGTGAAGCTGTCCGATGCCGGGAATCTTGGGCAGTTCCTCTATCAGCCTGTTGCGCTGCTTGACGATAAGGTCCTTGTTTCGTGTCATAACTTGCAGGTGTTTCGGGCTCAGAGCTGCGCGTGCGAGCTGACTCGTGGGGTTGGGGATGTTGTACGGCGCCTTCATGTTGTTCAGGATCTGTGCGATTGCCGGATCCGCGAATGCAGCGCCTAGTCGAATACCTGCAAGACCGAAGGCCTTCGACAGTGTCTGCATGACTACCAGGTTCGGCCACTCGGCGACCCACTCTGCCAGACTTGTTCCATCAGGTGAAAAGTCGATGTATGCTTCGTCCACCACGACCACACCATTCCATGGGTGTTCTAGTATCTTTTGTACGTCCTCTTTCTTGAGTAGCTTTCCGGTCGGGTTGCCAGGCGAACACAGATATGCTAGCTTGATGCTCTTGTCCTCATCCATCGCCTTCAGTATCGCGGGTACGTCGAGATCGAAACTTGGGGTTTGTAAGGGGATCTTGGCTAGGGCAACATCGTTGACCTGCGCAGAAACGCTATACATGCCGTACGTGGGCGGACATGTTAGGATCTTCTCCTTGCCGGGAACGCAGAAGGCGCGAATAAGAGCATCGATCGCTTCGTCTGAGCCGACACCAACGAAGAGGTTGGCGGGCGTGATCTTCTTCGGTGTGTGGCTGTGGGTATTTCGGAGGTTGCAGAGGAGTTGCTTAAGTTCTTCTTGGTGGCTGAATCAGCTCGTCAGCATACTACAATGCAAATTGTTGCGATCTGCATACGGATCTGGGTATCGGTTCAGGCCAAGCAAATCGACGTCAATCGCGGAAGACGAGTCTGAAGTGCCATTGACATTCGCGCCAGGTAGCTTTCCCTCGCCATTTAATGCTAGTCCCGGTCCATATGCGTTCTCATTCGCGTCGAGGAGGATGTTGGTGCCGTCATCTTTGTAGTCGCTACGCGTCGTGAGCTTGGTACCTTGATAAGAGTCATTGATATTCACCTACTCGCGCGCGCATCGGTATGGCTCCAATGCGAGGATGTTGGATCGCGCGCATTTCTGCAGATCAAAGGCAGTATTCTTTGCGACCATTGTGGGTGTTGGTTGATTGTTAATGGAGGATGGAGTGGGAGTACAGTAATGTCACGTCGAAGTTGGTGTTCGCGGGGAACTTTTTGTTTCGCGGGGCTGGACGCGGCGATGTCGGGAGTCATTCATCATCGTTCTGTCGAGGTAGGCCAAATTTAGATATTGTTCTGATTGGAGAATAGTTTGTAAAGTAGTGAGGTAGAATGATTGCCTTCAAGCCATTTGATTCTAACCTTGTGTGCAAGTGCAAGGCTGATGTCCTTTGCTGGACGAGATGTAATTGAAATGCATTACAACCAACCAAGCCAGGAGGTCCTGTCGCAACTCTGATGATTGGAACACGGACACTTTATGGGAAGCCGTCGATTTTCAATGTCGTTTCGCGGTTTCCGTATGCTTTGAGAGTGCACTGAGACTCTCTTGGGTCAAACATTCGTCAAGGGTGAATGCAACAGCATGTTGATTGCCATTGCGTCAGGAGTGGTTACACAGCATTGGGTGATAAGCAATCGATGGTCAGTGTAGAAGTTACTAGATATGGTGTTTTCCGTCTGCATCTCAAAATCTTTTCAATGCATAAGGGATATAGTACCCTGACCGTAAGATTTGATGGTGCTCGGTATGCATGGGCTTGACTCGAGATGATTAGTCTTGGTCTAACTTTGCCATGTCCGCTTTTCTGACTCATTGGTCGCCAGACATCCTTCTTTTTTGCACTGCTTCATTGATTGCGATAATTTTTATCAGGATATATATGCTAACATCCCTCAGTCTTCCATCAAAATCCGATATGGTCTAGTGGCTAGGATTTGCCGCTCTCATAGCAGAGTCAGTTCACTGTACAGTGCCGGCAAGGCCCGGGTTCGATTCCCGGTGTCGGAACACCATCTTTTTGCCCTTCTAGCATCATCACAGATGTGTAGATATCTGTCGGGAAGTATTGGTTTGGCTACAATGACCAAAACATCATTTTTTGCAAAGTTAACACCCAAAGTCACGACCTCACCCATGCAACTAGCTCACAATCAGCCGACACTAGGAACGCAGGACACTCGAGTTCAGGCATTCGTATCATCAACAAGCAGTATGTTGGCTGCTCTGTGTTGGGTTGAAGGGATGGAGCACAATTTCAGCCAGACGACCACCTTGCAAAACACATGAACACGAGTTCAGTCCGTAGCTAGATTATTCATTATTTCATCGATATAAGGGTATAATTCAGACAATTCAAACATGCTCTATATGCTTCATATCGCCTGTCCGGGGCGAAATTCATGACCAGGACTGTTCCTGCCTGACATGTCCGCGCTCACCCAAACTCTCGTCCTCTCTCCGTGCTGGCGGCCATCATAGACAACAGCGCCTGTCTTTGTGCTCTGATCACCATACCAGCTTGTCAGGCTGCCGTTTTCATTTGACTGCTGGCCCGCTTGCGCACCGAGGGCATTGCTGCGCCTGTTGCCCTGCCACTCCATCTTAATGTCTTCCTTCACGACGATGCGACGTTCCACCAACTCCTCTTCGCTGTCCTCGTCTTCTCCATGTATAGAACGTGCCCGTAAAGCGTCGTCGTTCCTTGACGGTCGCGAACCAAAGCCAGTGGCTGCCTTTTGACCTGTCGATTTGCTAGCGCTGTTGGACGCCTGGTGCTTCGAGAGCATAGAGCGCGGAAGAAGGTAGGCAAGGGTTGGAGCACAAGCTGCGACCAGACTGATGACTATCTCGACCATGATCCATGCCAGTAGAGTCGTGTAGTTCCATAGCGGATCCTTCTCCAAGGTATACTGCGAAACAAGGGTCATTACTGACGCGATGCAGGCGATCAGGCCGATGGACAACAGGGCAAAGATGCGGGCCTTTCTCTTCCAGCTCAGCTGAACTTTCCACAATACAATTATCGGGATGGCGAGAGCAGTGAAGTCTAGAGCGAGGTTCAAGCGGAGGATGGTGTTCATGTGGTTGACGGACAAACACTTCGGTACCTTGCCCGACTCGGCGATCCGGAGCAGGTTGAAACTCGCGTACTGAGGGTTGCATTTGAAGACGTTCAGAAACAGTGCTGCGACGGTATAGGCCGCACATGTGGCGAAGAACGCCCAGTTGACGTTCTTCCACAACCGCGTCGTAAGAGTTGTCAATCGGACATTGAACAAGGCAATGCTCATTTTGACAAGTCCTACATAGACGTAGAATACAGTGGCGGCTGATGGCGCGAGCTACACATCAAGATTAGTTATGCGCGACGGCGGGCCATCAGGGTTGTTCTCGCTCACATATTTGTAATGGAAGTATTCTTGATAGGTGATGTCGTAAAAGTGCTTTCCCGCTCCTCCATGCTGAACCATAGCAATTTGAAGTGCTGGGTATGCCATGGAGAGGAGATACGCTGGAATGATGAGCCAGTCATCGGCACCAAAACGGACCCCATGGACGAAGAGTCGAATGCCCAGTCTTAGGAAGGTAACAACCGTGAGGATGACCATACACACTGAGAGTGCGGCTATGACGGCTGGACCTTTAGTCTCAAAGTGGTAGTTGTCTGTTGGACGGAAAGGTGGAATCGTGACTCCATCTTTAGGGTCTTTGATATCAGGAGTAAGGCCGGTAAGAAGTAATAATCCTGCCGCTATTTGCTCGTCGAATTCGTTGGCTGGCGGTGTGTTGAAATAAGCAGACACCATTGTGCTGTGGTTATGCTGGCTCGGCCTGGCGATACCGTACGGTGGGGCAGCACATGGGTTTGGGGCGATTCGGTGAGAGATCGACAGAACAAAACATCAATCGGAGGTACTGGACTTGACTGCCCTTAAGATCTTGCTCAGTCCATTGCCCTGTTTGAAGAATGCAGCTATATCCCACTCCGGGCTACTGGTATAGTGTGAGCAGGGTTGTGTTGTAAACGAGGAGCGGGATGGGCTGACGGGAACCCCAATAAGAAGGTAACTGGCATCATCCTTCCACTCACCCACCGCCCTGCATTGAGGCGCTTATTCCTACTGACAGAGCCTCCTGATCTCTGGTGTCAACCTTGTCGCGTGGGATTATTACTGAGAAAGCCCAGGTTTCTAGTCAAGTTGATGATAAGAAGATTGGGGCTTGCCACACAAGAGGGTGGAAGAGCCGCTGGCATGAGGAGTGCCAACTCTGCACTTTGGGGCAAGGCTTTTGGCCGAGATAAGACCATGAAAGAGTGTCCCGTAGGCTCTGGTGGGTTAGGTTCTTATTGGGACGCATTGTCTTATTAGCATGTCCGTTAGCATGTCCCACGAGATGCGAGCGTGAGTGGCGCGATATCTCGACACTTCGTATAGGATATGGAGTCGAAACGACGATGCTTTCCCGCTGTGTCAGCGGGAACCCTTCTCCTGTCTTGCGTGTGAGGCGTTCGAGGTGCGCGGGAATGGGCTCCACCGGAACTCTTTTGTTTGTGGGCTGGCACGCAGGTACGAAGGAGCGAGGAAGCCCTGGAGCTACTCCGGAGTATTTCGGTAGAAACGGGAGACGAAACGATGGTTGTGGCCTGTGCGCCGGATCTTTCTATCGCGAAGGACCAGCCTCTTCGTAATCATGCGACCTGGAGCTTGAACACCCAATCGACATCAACGGGGGACAGGGTCTGTGATCGATATCTCGATTTCGCAGACTGGGCATGCAGATCCGTGCGACACTGCAGAGGAGAACAGACGTTTGGGTCCGAGAGAAGATCGGGTTCCTCCGTGGACCGGACGATGAGAAGGGCAGCATGGGACGGCACCACGAGGCCGCTTGTAGTAACTAATGTCCGCCACTCTCAGAAGCGCGTCCTTCAAGCTGCTAGAAGCGCGTGCAAGCTGCCGACATGGCTGCGCAACCGTCTTCCAGAATCATATAGGTATAGAAGGTTATGCATAGGACGCGTCGATGGAAAAAATCTCGGCCTAAGCTTTTTCTCTCCTCCTTCTATCGGCGATTCTATCAGTAGCCAAACTTACTTGGTCACGCCATTCGTTTCAGACATCTCGTTTTCACTCGGCCATGTTTTCACGTACCGTTCTCTCGGGTCTGCTGTTGCAAGCATTGCCCTTTCTGACTTCAGCAACCGACTGCACTGGTGTCAATGGCATCAGCCCAAAATGTAGCAGCCAAGAATCTGCGTACAAGCGCGACGTCTTCTACGTCGGCGGTGGCTATGTCGACTCTGGCATCCCAGGCCAGCAAATGTGGAGCGACCAGCTGTATGTCGAGAAGCTGTCGCCTGCCAAAAAGGTCAACAAGCCTTACCCGATGGTCTTCGTCTCTGCGGGTGTCAACACAGGCGCAGAGTGGCTGAATACGCCCGACAATCGCAAGGGTTGGGCTTCCTACTACCTTGACCAAGGCTACCAGGTCTATATTGTTGATATCGCTGCCAATGGCCGAAGTGGCCAGCAGCTTCTCTCCAAATACCCTCTGCGCATTGGTTCCACAGACACCATCAATGAGCAGGGCTTCACAGCTCCCGAAGATTTCGACCAGTACCCACAAGCAGACCTCCACACACAATGGCCTGGCAACGGATCTCGCGGAGATCCCGTCTTTGACGCCTTCACTGCCGGCAACGTCCCCATCTCTTCATCTAATGTGAACGTGGAGAACACTATGCGCACATCTGGATGCCAGCTCCTCAGCATGATTGGCCAGTCGTACACAGTCTGCCATTCTGCTGGTTGCACTTACACAGCCATCTGGTCAGACGCATGCCCTGATCTGCTACGCGCCAACATCAACATTGAGCCTGGCAACATTCCGTTCACTTCTCTGATCGGAAACAACACCGTTGCTGGGGTTGGCCGTAGCGCCGCTCGGCCTTGTGGTCTCACATATACACCGCTGCAGTTCGATCCACCAGTAACGAACTGCTCGGCCATTACCACCGCTGAGGTTGGGCCAGACGACCCAGCCAAGCGTTCCTGCATTCTCCAAACCGGCACCATCCACAAGCTCACCCAGCTTAGTAAAGTTCCTTATATCATGATCACAGGCGAGGCCAGCCCGCATATCACGTACGATCACTGCTTCGTCGAGTACTTCAAGCAGATGGGCATCACCAACTACCAGTGGATCAAGCTTGCCGATATCGGTATCAAGGGCAACGCGCACTTCATGTTCCTGGAGAAGAACAACCAGGAGATCGCCGCGGCGATCAACTACGGTCTAAAAAAGTTGAACAAGAGCCCAGCTGCCCCAGGTCATCCAAGTCTTCCTATCTCTGCAAAATGAGAGACGTAGCTTGCGATGACTGCCAATAGTGAAGATAATCTCGAATATAGTCTGGGTGGCGTATTAAATCCAAAAGTCAAGTAGACCATAATATCTAAAGTAATCATGCATCACGAACCGATTCTACAAAATTCATGGACGTGGATAATTCATCAGTAACTAAAAAGGATCGCTTCGTAAACTCATCGCTCAAGCCAACGCACCCATTGGGTCCCACAGCTCTAGCATCCTCGGCTTCTGCTCCAGTACCTTCTTGACCGACGAACTGACAACGCTAGGATCAACGACCGCCTGGTACACGAACTCATCCATCCAAGCATCACTCATGACAAAGTAGCCCTTGTCACCCGCACGCTCGCTCCACGAATTCTCTACCCTCCAGCGCACAGGCTTGCCATCAACGACATGCACAGCCGTCAGGACCATAGCATGTGTCATCTGGCTCTCACCAGTTTGCAGGCGCTCCGCCTTGGACATGCCAAGCTTAATGTTAAAGCCCAGCTCATACTCGAAGAGATCCGTGTCCATGATGCCCTTGGTAGAATCGGAATACTTGCCCACGTCTGAGCCGAAGAACACAGGCATGCCACGCTTCAGCATAGTGATGCAGGCATCTTTGATTGTCTTCATGTCGACATTTACGTAGGTCACTGGTCGGCCGTTCCAGACGTTGCCCAGTCGCTTCACGCTAAGCAGACGGTTGTAGGGGTTACGAGGATCGTTCACAAGCGAGAAGAGTGAATGGACGTCAGTTCCGGACAGTGCTCGTACGGTCTTGTTGTCGGAGAGTTCGTTTGCAAAAGCAGTAGGTCGCGTGCGGACAGTGCAGAATTTGCCGTCCTTGTCGTAGTACTCCCAAGTGAAGGGCTTGGTGGAGCATGGTGGTGGGCCAAGCATCAGTGTCAGAATCAAGTGGATCTCACGAAGCATCTTTTCCTTCTCTCCGGCGATGGTCGCCTTGATGGCATCTGGTGTAGCGTTGCTGCGGGCAATAGAACGTAGACGAACTGCATCTTCGCGTAGCTTGGTGGTAATCAGACGGTCCATAGTCGATGAGCTGGTTGCGTTGTAGGAATCTGGGTACAGCGAATGTGGCACAAGACCATACTTTTGTACGAGGTTGGCCACCATATCCCATTGTCCACCATCACCGACGGGGCTAGCCATCAGTGCCTGTATGATGCGACTGTCAATCTCCTCATCCTTTGTATCCAGAATGCTTTCGAGGAAGTAGTTCGCCTTCTCGATCTTGTCCCAGTAGAAGAGGTACGACTGGGAGAGCTGGAACTCGGACAGCTTGTACTTCTTCATGATGGCGACACGGAAGACGTTGGTAGACGCGAAGAGCCAGCATCTTCCGGACGAGGCTTGGTTTGTGACGGGCGAACCCTCAAGAGGGATCTTGATGTTGAACTTCTGGGTGTCTGCTATGACAGCTGATCGAGACGAAAGCACGGCGTTGGCAGAGTTGGAGCTGAGGGCTGCAAGGGCAAGACGGTTCTACCGGAAGTCAGTAATGAACATCACAGGGACTGGATGTAGTACCTTTGGGTCTTCCATGAGCTCCTTCTCCCATTCAGACACTGATGCGGCGGAGACATCCTGTTGGTACTTGACGCCAGGAGTGTATTTGGGTGCTTCAATAAGTCAGACTTGTTCTAAGAGTATGAACAGGAGACAACATACGGGATTCCCCACCAACAACTACAAATCCATCCTTCTCATTCATGGGTCGTTCATCTTTCATGTGGAGGGCCTGGAGTCGCTCCATCAGCTTCTCGTTAACAGCAGCATCGGACGGTCGTGACTGGTTAGCGCCCATGATGAAGACGGAGAAAACGCTTCTAGAACTATCGTGAAGCTCTTGATCTAACTAAGCTCGAGAGCAAGCTGGTGTTGTAGTCCGGGGAAGCTCCAGTTGTCCATCAAGGTGTCACTCGTTATCGCGCTTATCGGGCGGGAGCAACGCGTGCATGGGTCGCGTGGCAGCCCCACTCCGATCAGATGGCTGGACTCGTTGGAGCGGAAAGTGCCCGCCTTCCATACCTTCCACATCTGACCCATCTGCATCGAAGCATGATGCTTACATGCGAGGCAAGGCCGACTTGTGCAGTGCTCGGTGCTGCGTTTGTGCTATGTGCTACACCCATAGCCTGGGTGCCTCAGCCACCTTGAACATCGCCTCAGGACCCCACCCATCTCCACAGACCCTGAAACTCGTGACAGCCGTTTTGCTCTCTATCAGGACAACGATACTGGCATCGCACCATTATAAACACTCACAACCCAAAGCCCCTTTCCCTCTATGCGACTATCACGCATAGATGACGATGCAGCCGCCTCATCGGCCCCCAACAGACGCGGAAACTAAAACAGGCAAATGAAGATGTACAGGGCCGAACGCGTGTTTCATCCAGGCGCGCAAGGCGTCCCCTGAGTTTGCGCCTCACAGCCGCCGCAGCTCGAATTTGCGCCGAAGATACCAAAACTTCTTGCGCTCAGCCTTGATCACGAAGATATATACCCGCTTCTCTGTCTTCTCGCTGTCCACATCTTCCCTTGCGCCCAACGGCCTTTGAGCAACACAGTCTGCATCACCACATCACCATGGCGCAACGACCGGTATTTTGGCAGAAGCGCGTTCTCGTGCCCTTCTGGATAGTGCGAATATGTATCATGATCTTGATCATTGCAGCATATGGCTATTCCCTGCGGACTGTGGATGAACTAAAGGATGTCATCCAACCATCAACTGGGTAGGTTGCACCAATATGAGCGCATGCGCAGAGACTAACAGCCAACAGATCAGTCGTTGTCTTCATGCTCTTCATCGTCATTGTGCTCCTCATCGACATTCTTGCGATCATCATGTTCCTTGGCGACAAGCTGAAGCCAGGCACTTTCCTGACCATGAACTGCTTCCAAACTGGATTCTGGACTGGCGTCTTGATCATGGACTTTGTCGCCATAGGCCAGGGCGCCAGCACTGTAGGAATTGGATTCAGCATCTTCGTATTGTACGTTCAGAGTCTGGCGAGATTGTGTGCAGTACTGACATATCCCAGCCTCACCTTCCTCGGTCTCCTCATCTACGCCATCGTCGGTTACCGTCGCGCGAAGAAAGAAGCCCAACGGGGCCAGTATGCGCCAGCGCATAACCCATTGGCGGCGGCGGCTGCTGCACAATCGTCCCCGTACAACAGCGTCCCCGAGTACCAACAGAATACCGCATACCATTCGCAGACACAGCCTGATATGCACAACCAGTACCTTCCACCATACCAAAGTGGTGCTGCGACGGACTACTACCAGCAGCCTGTGAAGCCCGCCCACATTGTATGAGCGAAGGAGACGGAGATGACGAGGTTTACAAAAGGCGTTTTGGTGAAATAGGAAAGGTCAATACCACGGTCAAACGGTGTTCCGGTCTGTACTTTCACATGTTGCATGCTTCCATGACCAGAAATCGGTCTAGAGAACTTGATCGTCACGAACGATGGTAGTGATAATATCAGTGAGGGACGGGCCGTTAGATTATTGCGCACTTGCGCCGGACCTGTCCCATTCGGCAGGTGTAGGAATGACACCCTGAAACTATCGATTCATGTACCAAAGACTTCCTCAGGCACCGAAAATCCGTGAATGATACCACAAGCTACTCGCACGTGCGAACGGAAATCGGAGGCTCCTGCCCGTTCGAGAGGCTCCTGCCGAGGCACTAGGCTGGTCAGGAGGCGGCACCTCCGCAAGGCTTGGAAGTGTCTCCGTTTCGGAGGTCAGCAACCACTCACAGCTGCAAAGCCGACATTCACATCATGTCACCGCCATGGTCATTTATGCGAGGAGCAATCACATCGCTGTTACCCGCACGTTGCGACTAAAAAGTGGCGTGTGCCATGGCTGTGTTCCTGACTTCTGCAGTGTCTGTTCGCCTCCGGCGTACATTATGCGTGGAACGTTAGCGGTAGATCAGAGACTGGGGACGCAGCGGCTGGCTCAAGGATGGATCGGAAGGATGGTATTGTTATAAACATCAAGCGCCGTCTGTTTGTTTTGCACAGGTCTCAGGTCTCTCAGTCGAACACATTCGCTTCATCTTCATTCTTTCAGTCAAGATGCGATCATTCTTGCTACTCGCTGCGGCGGTTCCTTTCGCTCAAGCTGTTCGCATCGTACAGTCAAACGACGATGGATGGTCAGAGGCAAATATCCGTACCTTCTTTGACGTCTTGAACTCTGCTGGCCACGAGGTTGTCCTGTCTGGTCCTGCTGAGAATCAGTCTGGCAGAGGTTGGTAGTCGAGTCATGAACACTATACACATACTGACCTATATCAGGATCATCCGACGAACCCCCGAAGACTGTTGATTCAGACGGCTGCATTCATGCATCCTGCCCAGGTGGAAGCCCGCCCACAGGTGCAAATGCGACAGACCCTCGTTTGAACTACGTGAACTCGTTCCCGGTTACTTCTATCAAGCAAGGTATCGATGTCACCGCGCCTAAGCTCTGGAACGGCGCAAAGCCCGAACTCGCTCTGACCGGACCGAATGTCGGAAGCAATGTTGCTGTTCAGGTGCCCTTCTCCGGTACCGTCGGCGCAGCTACATATGCGGCAAAGACGGCCCAAATTCCAGCTATCGCCTTCTCTGGCCAGTCTGGAGATCCTACCGCATGGAATGTCCCTACACCTTTCCACAGCAAGATCTATGCTGATCTGGCTCTGAACGTCACTACCACCATCATCAACAGCGGAAAGCCATACCTCCCAGCGAACACCTACTTGAACGTCAACTTCCCCTCTGTCTCCGAGACCAAGTGCAGCGATCCCAGTCAGTTCAAGTACATCTTTACTCGCATCAACACTGGTCTTTTGAGTGCTCGCGACGCGGACTGGTGCGGTAGCACGCGCCTTCCGTGGGAGGCAGACGTCATCTTGATTCGAGGAAGCGACTGCTACGTTACTATCAGCCCTGGTGATGCAAACGACAAGACCACCATAAACGATGCTGCGGTCCAAACTCAGATCATCAACAAGCTCAAGCCGATCTTGTCGTGCTTGCCTTAGAAGAGGGATGATGGGGATGGCAAAAGTTAGCTCGGCTGTGCATGGAGCTTTAATGACACGCGATAGTACGACGAATGATATCATCTCAATACTTGTCCTCATCCATTGTTAACAACAGTCATTGTGACAATGACTCCCCATAATGTGACTGCAATGAAAATACGTTAGTTGGATGACTCATTGGCCACCTTGTAGTGAAGGAAGCTATCATTTAACATGCAACAACCAACAGTTCCAACACAAACACACACCTGATCAACCATGTCGGATTCTCCCAAAGATACTGGGGTGTCGGCAGACTCTACCAAACCCGAATCTCTAGCTTCGCGCATGAAGTCATACGAATCGCACTTCGACCATACCCTCCCCCTCGACCAACCCATCATCCTCCGTCTAGACGGCCATGGCTTCTCGCGCTTCACATCACACTTTGCGCGTCCCTTCGACGAACGCATACACACTGCGATGATATCAACCTGTGCCGATCTACTTCACTTCTTTCCCCGCGCTACAGTCGCATACACGCAGTCCGACGAGATCACGCTGGTCTTTCCGGAAGGTGTGCAGACTTTCAACGAAAGAGTGCAGAAGCTGTCTAGTCTGAGCGCGAGTTATTGCTCTGTGCGATTCAACAAACATCTCGCGGAGGCGCTGGGGAAAATGCCGGAGCAGGCAGTCAAGGGCAACGTGGAGAAGGTACTAGGCACAGCGCATTTCGATGCGCGTTTCTTCCCGGTTCCTTCTGTAGGAGAGGCTCTCAACAACCTCATATGGAGGTGTCGCAATGATGCTGTACGGAATGCTGTTTCTGGTTTTGCTCGGACTATGTACTCAACTAAGGAGATGAACGGCAAGAAGACGCGGGAGCTCATTGATATGATGCTGGAGGAGAAGGGCGTTAGGTTTGAGAAGGCGGTGCCGAAATGGGCGATTGAGGGCTGTTTGCTGAAGAGAGAGCAATATGAGCACGAGGGGGTAAACCCAAAGACTGGAGAGAACGAGAAGACTTTTCGGACAAGGACGCGAGTAGAGGAGAGGGGTGTGAGGGTATTTGGAGATGAGGGATTAAAGCTAGTGACAGATAAATATTGGTAGAGTAGTTCTGGAGGTATATTCGCTCTACAACGTAGCAGCGAGGTTGCGGTCGTCCTATGTAGAACTCGTTCCACGGCGAGCGCTCAATCATCAATATGCTATCTTTTTGCATACAAGCAGTCCTTCGTAGAAAAAAGATTGCGCGTACACTCACTACCCCAGTGGAAGTTTGTTCTAGGCGAGGCACAAATTTCAGCAAAAAAGAAGATGGGGCCTGACCGGGATTCGACTGCACGCTTATTAGTAAAGCGTTCGATGTCGAACCGTGATGGATGAACTTACACCCGGGGCCTCCTGCAGAATAGGCGATGTGACAATGTCAACCCAAAGCAGGAATCATACCACTAGACCATCAGGCCGATTTTGCTCTGAAGAGCTGATTGATGAAAGGAGGCAACAATCTATCCTTCATATAGCGCGCGGCTAATTTTTGACGGCTGCTCTGGAGGGATGCGAAGTTGGTGACTCTGCGGCGTGTTTCGCTAAGGGTGGCCACTACTGCGCACACAGCCCCTCGCTCCACATACACGATCCTGAGCCCCGCACAATCACTACCGCTGTGAGCCTGGCCTTTGGCTCTAAAGGTTCAGAAAGCGTTACTCTGCACGATGGGTTTTATTGCTCCCCATAATGGACTCCCTTCCACTTATGGTGGAGCCCCGCACGACTACACATGAACTACTAGGCTACTGATGAAATCAAAACTCTGGCTTGCATATCCTCAAGTTGATGGCCGCAATACCCGAATCGCAATTTGGAGGTGGGTTACATGGAGAATTGTGCTTATATTTTCGGTGTAGGCGCTATCCATAGCCTCGATGCCCCCTTATGGTTTTGCGTGTCTTCCACGGCTTTTGAGCAACACAAGTCGACGACATGGCTGTCGTCATCTGCGTTATTTTTTTCAGAGATGTGTACATGCGAGCGAGGAAGGTTTGCATAGAGTATTCATCTGCACAATTTAGACGCGCACCCCGACATAATGGGTTAAATCGTCCTGTTTTAGAAGAAAGAGAGGCGCAAACATGTAGAGGACGCCCTCCTTTTTTGGATGGTGGAAGAATGGTACCAGGTGCTGAGACTCCAGAGAGCAGTATAGAACGCTTTATATGCTGCCAACCGGTGACTGCAATCTATCGTGATTGTAGCCGAAGTGTATGCGGCCATTTGGAGTCCACCATGACTTGGACGTTTTGAAGCGATGACCAACTTTCGGTGGACATGAAAACGACCTAAATGACTTTGGAACGATAGCTCATGGTGTTTTCAAAACACGCGCGCATACTTATTCATGAATTCCTCGTCTCTGGTCCTAGCACTTGGTTTCCGAAGTAGAGCTTTGTATTCACATCTCTTCGTGTGAACCCTCATGTCAACTGCTTGTTGAAGTTTAATTTCACAAGCATGAACCGAAACGGTAGGTTTTCCTGGAAGGTCCAGCGGCCCACATTAGGGTTTCGGCATGTTCTTTTGATGAAATAGCCTAGTAGATGATAGATGTGTAAGGAAGGCAAGTTATCGTCAGAAGAATAACCAAGTCTTATATACCCGTCGCTCAAGCTGCCAAGACGACGCTTTCAAAGAGATGTATCCGAGACACATGTGCAGCCAATATTAATCAGCTCTTCAGAGCAAAATCGGCCTGATGGTCTAGTGTTATTATTCCTGCTTTGGGTTGACATTGTCACATCGCCTATTCTGCAGGAGGCCCCGGGTGTAAGTTCATCTAAAAGTGCAGCCGATAGTGGTTTCACAGGTGCTCGTCGCCTACAGAAGTTTTCTTGAGAAGGAAGATCGGATAACATGACAATACATCAGACTCCTTTTGGATCACAAACTATTTGCTTAATTGCTTCTACCAGCTTCGTGATCTACACCGCAACATCCTCGTACATCCATGTCTCGTCAATCTTCCCACCTTCCGCAGTCTGCGCTCCCGCATACAAGCACCGCTTAATTTGCCTATCCTCAAATACAGGCACAACGTCCTTCTCCACAACCATCATCGCCCACATAATGATCCTTGCACCTAGGTTCTCCGTACGTCCATTGATGAAAACAGGCGCTGGATCATCAGCGGGTTGGTTGACAAATGTCATACCCAAGTCGTCCAGCGCATCCGTTGGCGCGACATTCGCTTCGGCGGAGGGAAGCTGCACAAAATCGCCGAGATTCTCATCGATGAAGGTGTACGTGTCTACGTCTTCAATACCATCTTCTAATGTGGGAAGTGCATGTTTTGAACACAAGTTGCGCACTAGAGCCAATGTCTTCATGTCGGATGTGTCTTGTGTGGTCAACATCAACGACACCAGGACAGTCAGGAGCATCGTCCACTGCAAACCTTCATTCTGTGAACCCTGAACACCATGTCGATCGAGCGCGCTCGAAAAGTTCTCGGCTGATGCAGGCAGATCGGCTCCGAAGGTTTTGAGCATGTCGGACAAGCTGTGCAAAGTGCGAACGGGACGTTCGGAATCCGAGACGCGAAGCTTGGCAATCGCAGCCTTCAGCTCTTCCCGAACCGAGTGGATGATCCTAGCCTGGCTGTTGCGATAGATTTTCGCGTACCTTTGCTTATCGTTTTGCGGTTCCTGTTGGATTTGAAGTGGGAGAGTGCTGCATCTCTGCTCCATTGCCTGGTGTAAGAGCACGAGAACTTGCAGGGTGATCCTGCCTCCTGGCCGTGCAACGTCAATAGTGCTTACATCCAACTCGGATGTTATGATCGTCTGTATGAAGAAGAAGTGAACGATGTAGGGGGGTATGCCACGGAAGAAAGGTACGTGGTTTTCGTAACGACCGAATGGATGGCCCTTGGCGCGTAGGAAGTGCTGTTCCTTATTTGGGTCTGTGGCTAGAAAGTCTTTTGACATGCCAAAAGGCACATTCTCAGGATTCAACAGACCCAGCTGTTGTGCATATTGCTGTAGCTGTGGTTGGAACGCTAGTTTCAAAGCGAACTGCTCAATAGGATTGTCTTCTAAGCAGAAGCCATACCCAAGAAGCAACTCATCATTCTGCTTCGGCGCGTAGTTGTTGAATAGCTCTTGACCAGCCTGGAAAGACTCGCCTTCAAGACACTTCAGTGTAAATGACTGGTGAGGCTGGAAGTCCCATTCTACCTTTGCAGAGACGGAATGATTGAGAATGTCCACCACCGGAAAGAGGATGGGAATCGTCTCACGTCCGGGTAGGATGTGTGTCGAAATAAACGCTCGCGAAGTGAAGATAGTGGCTGCCCAAAGTAATGATTCGCTGGGATCGTTAGCAGGCTGCACCAGATAGCCAACGTACGGATGTCGCAAATCTAGAGTGTTGGCAGCCAAAAGCAACACTGATAGCTAGGTGTATGGGTTCAGATGAACGGTAGAGCTGATGCTCAATGTACATGCACGCTAGACAGCACATGACGTGTAGTAAATACCATTCGCTGGAGACTTACAGATCAATCTCGTCAGCAAGAGGCATACCAAGTGCTTTCATAACACCCACGGCATTTTCCCATTGGCGCTCCAGCTCAGCCTTTCTCTCTTTGGTCGCAGGAGCTAGACTTGTACCAGCGAGAAAGACCACATCGCTCTCATCAAACCAGAGAGGTGTGGTCATAGTTTCAGGCCCTGGTAAGCAGGAGATGTACGCATGCCAAGGCGACTTCTCACCCTTCTTGCGCTGTTCAATCAACAACAGATACGTCAGAACGTGATCCGGAATCTTCCCTCGACATTGTTCTAGAGGGCTTTCAGCGTACAAGACCTCTTTCTCGTTTGGGTCTAGGTTGATAGAAGAGAGTGTGAGCTTCAATGGACATGAAGCCACGACGGTGGAGCTCAGTGGCCTAGCAGCGCGCATGTGAAAGCCACGCGAGTCGCTGAAGACGATCTGGACATCTGGACTGAGCTGACCCCCATTTTGTGTGAACCAGGTAACGAGGCTCTCGGCTGACGGGTGAGAGCCGAAATCCTGGCCTGACATTTGGTCCATTAGAATTGCAATTGATTTGAAAGGTTGCAAATTCTAATCCGCTGACGTAGCAGCCTTGATTGTCGGGCGTTCTCTGGCGAATTTTTGGACAAAAATACTCTTTACGCACGCAATGCCTTCCGATTTGGATTTGTTTGTATCTCGGAAGTTCGGTTCGTCCGACTGCGCGAAGATGATGTGTGCAATCCAGCTGACGCGAGCTCGGTCTCGGTGAAAAATTGGCGGCGCGGCATGCGGAGCACAACGGAACCGACGGTCTGAAGCGAGCAGGCTTGCAGAAAGATCGTGAAGTGTAGCGGGTCGTGCAGCCAGAGGTGCAGCACGGCGTAGTGGTGTGTGGATTTGTCGGTGAGGTAAGGCTAATCCAAAACCCCTCGCAAAAAGTCATGGTAGAGTTTGCGTAAGCGTTGATTGTAACAGGCTGGCCCTGTATAGCAGAGTCGGAGTACCGAACAGGACGCCTGGTCATGACAGCATCCAAGCTTCACAAGCTTCATATCATCTGCGGTCGGCTCCTACAAGAATGCTTCGACATGGAAACCGATGTTGATGTTTGCTGTGGCTTGAGTGGCAGTGGTGCTCGGCGCAAATATCGCAAGGCTGGCCAATCACAGCGCCCCCCGGTCTGCATCGTATACGAATACGCCGTGCATTGACTGCCCAGAGCTTCCTCAGAAGGTTCCATGGTCACAGTGCCGCATGATCAATCTTAAGATGATGAGGTATTCGGATCCCTGCGGAAACGTGTCGTTGCTGCTCTCATCCAGATCGACAGCACGATCCAAAGTAAGACCTAGACAATCAGCGGTATACCTGCTAACTATGACCACGAGTAAGCAGCCCCCCAGCTTTGTCCGACGAAGCCGAGTAATCTGTTTCCGATGAAGCAAAAAGAGGGGCCAGTAGCGAGGATGCATGATGTGCACGATGGGCCAATGGTTCTGGCCCCTTGCCGGATGCGGCTTTGCTGGCGTCCCTGCGCCAACGGGACGGACGACGGTTGACATTACCGGCGTTTGGAGCCTGTGTGCCTTGTGCGTCGACGATGCGGATGTAAAGTAGAGCCATGCCCGGCTGATGAATGACCTGACGAGGGGCCCGTCTAATGGCTTCTTTTTTGTTCCCATTTTCGCTCTTTGAAAACTGTCTACGCCCGCTTGCTGAAACATACAGCTGTCCATGGTCAGGCTATAGGGAGTGATTGGCTAACTTATTCCCTGCATAAACTCAGCTCCTCTAGTTGTGGCTTGTAAGTCAGCCCCAGTGCCCCAGTTGTGGTAGTGGAATTGCGCTTGAGGGGCACGACCTCCAAACTTCAGCGCACAGCCCTTGGGTCCCGCCCTCATAAGATGAATGGCGTCCCATGCGGCGGCGCGGATTGCGCCTCCATTTCCGTTGTATTTCGATTCTCTGCTGACGGGTATTTCAGCATGTCACACCTGGATTGAGTGCTGGAGCGATGCTGCTGGACATGTTGACCGCCGATGCCGCCAAACATGGCCACGAGAGCGCACCACCGCGTGCAGCCTCGCCCACGAGCAACGGCTCCTTTCTCCAGATGCCACTTTCCATTTTAGGTTCAGTCTTGCGCGGACAAACTCCTTCACCGTCGCAGGCGACCTTAACTTCTACACACACCGATCCTGCAATCGATACCCCTGACACGCCAACGCCGACCTCGCATAGAGATGCGATGAAGATACAGCATGACGAACCTATAATCACCTTCGTTCCTTCACCTTCACGGCCGGTTTCCTCCGGCAGCGACGGCACCGCAGAGAAGCCGAAGAAGCGGACCCCTCGTTCGAAAACATCCTACAACATCGCCCGACCCGTAAACACTCGCTCAAAGCTACATGCACGCCCCAAGGTTCTCCTACAGTTACATCAAGTCATCGCTTCGCAACGTCCAAAGCCTGCATACGAAGTCGTTCCTTTCTCAGTCCTCCCCCAGCGAATTTCGAGGCGTCTTTCACGGAGCTTTAACACCAGGGAAAAATTAGGGCCACATGATCTCTTCATTGTTCAGGCAGAGGAGTACAACAGTCATGATGACGAGAGCAAGTCGGAAGAGGAGCGATGGGGCTCGCGCGACGTAATCGGCGTCATCAGCGCACGGAAGTGTGACAAGGGCGTCACCGAGACCACGGAGATTTGTATGAATGACGGGACGAGTCGCTGGGCGGTAACTGATATGCCCAACGGAGGCTACGAGTTCAATAGCACTGACGAGCATGGCCTGACGCTGAAGGCGCGTTGGGTGTTGAAACCAGCTCATTCACGCCGTACGTCAAGCATGACTGCGAACACACCCCTTTCGCCATCATTCCCAGAGGCCGACGACAGGAAGTTTACGTTCAGTACTTTGAGTGTTAATTCCAGGCGTCATCCTATCATTGCGACAATGACCCGCAACCGCATAGATGTCATGGATACCTACGCTTTGCCATCTGATGCCTCGCCGTCAACGCCTAGCATGGCCTCTTACACCCAGTCGCCTACCACAGACGTTTCCAGCATCGATGCCAGCAACTTTATGGAAACTTTGACAGAGAAGCTGCCTACCGAGACCGGCGACGCGCTTCGACAATTCATACTGGCTTCCGGTGTCTGGGTTGCTGCCAAAGAATTCACGACGGAGGGCCCCAACTTGTTCTCGCCCCCAACCCTAGCTCCCTGTGCCACCTTCCGGCCAAACACCAACCGCACGTTCTCAATGTCGATCCTTGATTGTCCTCGCTCGCCATCTCCAGCTTCGACACTCGACGAGAAGCGCCGCTCGATCCCTCGAATGTTCAAGCCTAGTTTGGAAAGACTACCTCGTCGCACGACAAGCTTCACTGATGCTCCTGCTTCGCCTGCTTCTACCAAGACGGCAGTAAACGCTTCTCCCGTGACCGTTGTGAAGACACGAGCGCGACGTGCCAACTCGACTGGCACTGCTATGCATAGTATTTCCGGCAGCATGAGGAAGAGATACGGACTTACCTTCGAAGACCAAACACTCGCAGAAACCGCAGAAGAGCGCACTATGAAGCGCAGCGTGGAGCTACTTCGCATCAAGGAACTACAACTGCCCTCACCTATAGAGCGACCTTCTGCTGAATCCACCCGGCCACTCCCTCCTGCTATACCATCCCCGATCGTCATCCCCGCGTCACCTGAAGGCCCGACTTCGCCCACACCGCTACTCGCCTCTCCTCTCCTCTCACCGGCCATGCCACAAACCGAACGTTCTAGAAAGACACAGTCTGCATACGCGCCCATCACCACGACCGGCATGTGGGATTCTGGAGTCACGGAAGGCCCCGGTCTCAAGAAGCGCCCCACAAGCATGTTCGTCATGAACGAGAAGAAGCGCAAGCAAGAGAAGAAGGTTGAGCGCAGTAAAAGCATGAAAGAGAAGAGCAAAGCTAGCGAAGAGAGTAACGAAGGTCTCGGTCCTAAGAGCAAGAGGAAGGGTGATTGGTACATGTACAAGATCAAACTTCGCCTCAAGGACATCTTTAAGAAGGACAAGGCTTGATGTGGATGTACTTCGCACACTGTTTTCTGTTGTTTTTTCCTAGCAGTACTGGGTCGGTATAGCATCGCTGGGCGTTTTGTCTTTGGTTACACTCAAGGCTGGACCTTTTGCGGTCTCACGTCACCACTCCTTGGATCCATTTCTTTCTCTTCTTGTACATACTACATATCTCCTACGCTAGACTCTGGTTTCCTCTTCATCTGAATTTGTCCTGTCTATACCCATTTCTATCCGTCCGCACCCTACTTGTTTTGGGTAGCTCAATGAAGGTTCCGTTTTCTTCTGCTGATTTGAATTGCTCCGTGTTGATGCTCCGCGTTGATGCTCCGATCGGCCGTAACTCATGGATGATCCGTGTCGCAACCCCCCTTGCTAGTCTCGGGATCTTGCAGCAGTAGCTTGTGAGAAAAATGAACAGTATGGATCGTGGCTTCGGCGTGATAGAGTCAGCATGTGATGGTGCAGACACCATTACTATTCTCAATATGGCGTGTTCACCGCTGAAGGCCGTCGGCCGAGATGGCGCACCAAGCTAAAGTTGGTCGGCGAAGATGAGAATCATTACAATTTAGTATAATGCGCCACAATTTTTTGGTGAATAGAGCTGGACTTGCGAGTGGGGTGATCTCCGTTGTTGCGTGGCCCTTCTGTCGTTGCGAAAGCCATGGGCAGATGTGCTTGTTGGAAATGTTGCCCTATACGACATAATTTTAAGCAAGCAAAATTCAGAAATCGTTCATGTAGTAAGCAACATGGATACTATGTCTAGAATTATTTTGTATCTATACGAGCTGCACATCTGACATCCAAATTGCAGCAAAGATTTGGATTAGGATAGCCATGGATCGATCTACAGCATAGTTCCCAAAGCCTCCTATGAGACTAGTCTTTACTCTGTCCATTTACCTTCCTCGACTCCAGGACTATCGACAAACTCCCAATCCTCGTCACCATCAACCTTCTCCCACTCCTCTTCATCAGAGTCCAGACTCAGCTGCTCCAGCTCTTGCTGAGGTACATTGGCCTTGTCGATAGCCAGCCATTTCTCACACTTCGCATGGGAAGCCTCTCGTCTGGAAGCTATGCGCTCTGAGTAGCTCTTCTCTGGCTGCGTTGCAGGTGTTATACTGGCAAGTGCGGATGGAAACCTGCGGTAGAAAGATGGGTGTATCTCCTGAGTTTCCTGGTTGATGGGTGCAAGTACTCTTGCAGACGGGTTGGTGTTTGAAGGAACGTACGCCCATTGCCACGGCGATGCAAGGCGGGGTGTAGGTAGCCTTGACGTAGCTGAGCCTGGCATGTATGATGGTTTTGGAGAAGACGATTTGACTGCACAGTGTACAGGCTCTTTGTGTCGTACTTGTCGGCGCTCAGACGTCTCAAGGGGCATCTGTGGAGCACCTTCAGAACACCTTGTAGATGGACAGGTTCCAGGAACTTGGGCGTGACGATAATCCATCTTGATTTTGGTGTCGACTAGGAGATTGTGGGAGTCGTAGTCTTGAAGTGCGCGTGGGCTGGTAAAGGCAATATAGTCTACCTTGTCGGCGAAGATTGTGAAGATGAAAGTTGGTGAAGATGGAGGTTGGTGGAGATGGAAGTTGCTGAAGATGGAAATTGCTGAAGATGGAAGTTGCTGAAGAAAGTTGCTGAAGGGAGTTGCTGGAGGAAGTTGCTGAAGGAAGTAACTTTGGAAAAATACGAAAGTGTCTTAAGTCCAGCGAAAAGAATGTTCGATCCAAGAAGCCTATCAAGCGACGCATATTAAGACTATGCAACGTGGTAACGATATACAAAATCGAGGTTCTTTACCTTGGTTCAGGGGGGTAAGCGACCATTTGTACCCATTGTACTGCTTGACCATGATCTTGTGGGAATCTTATTGGATCTCAGACACGTACATATTACTGCAACACCCAGAACTTACAGCAAAGCCATTCTTACATGCAACGGAGATTGGCTGCTTAAGTAAAATCATCACATTGCTCTTTTCCGCCATGGATACAGCGATAATTCTCGACAATATGCAACCATGGTCTCCGGGATGGAACCTACATGTACTCGAGCGCGAAGACGCGACGGAGCGGTAATTGTAAGGAAGAAGACGACTTGAAGGTAACTAATCGATAGGCTGAAGCGACGCAGCAGCGACAAAGACAGCCAGGTGGTCAGTGTTCAACGGCTACAGGCGATCGTCTGGCGGGCCTTTGCCGTGTGCTATACTTAGCCACCACCATCACTTGTGGAGCAGAAAAGATGCAAACCATGGGTATTCTCAAGAGCAATCACACAGAGGACATTGAGCGAGAAGGAAACTCAGTGCTTCAGCCAGAGGTATGATGCAAGTGTCGTCCCAAAAGGGAGAGGTCGGTCTTGGCGGCGCTATGGCCAGCGCGATGGGCGGCCCACTCGATTGTTTGGATTCGTCCCGCGTCACAACATTGAAGGTCCAACACCCCAACGCCCCGGACGACAAACCCCCCAGGATAGCCCTTTTTGCCTTTGGCGCTGCTATTCACGACTGATACATCTCAAGACGACATGCGTAGCTAACCTAGACGACACTCGACCTTACCCGGAACGCGACTGCTAGCACCGCGACGCGCCTACTACTACACGCCCTCACCGCACCTCACCGCACACATTCGACATGGCTGCCCGCAGCAAGGCACCCACCGTTGGGTCCGCTGGCTGGATCCTCGAAGAGCGCCACCAGTCCAACACGCTTGTATCCCAGGAATTGGAGGATTTTGGCTTCTCTGTGCGCAATGAGCTGGAATGGCTCAATGAACACATGTTCGACATTTTGTCCAGCGACAGACAGTATGTCGCGTCTACCTCGTGCCGACGCGCATCACACTGACTTTCCGGTAGACACAACCTCGATGTCTTCAAGACACCCGGCAAGTTACGCGGCAAGACGCCCCGTACCGCGCGAAAGAAGGCTGTCGATCGCCAGGTAAGAGTTTTGCATGCGCCTTTCGTCCCATACTAACATTCCGAAGCCTCTCGCCAGCATACAATCTGCAAACGCGCAGAAACGCACAAGCGCCGCCGAAGAGAGTCTAAGAAACGTCAAGGCTAGATTCCAGATTGCCGAAGATGCTGAGAACACAGTACGACAGTCGCCCCAAGTCGCCCGCACACCTATTGCGCGACAGCTGTTCGCCAAGCCCGAGAGCGCTGGCAAGGAGAATGTCGACAGCAGCTTCCACGCCAATGTATTCGAGAAGCGCCCAGCACAGTCTCCCGCACCCGCATGGAATCCCATTCAGTCCTCACAAGACACGGTAATGTCTTCAGAAGCCAGCCAAGTCTTCTCGCCGCCACAGAGCTTCTCGACTCAGCCCACACAGCCAGCCCAGTCCTTCCGTCATTCGATACACGACAAGGAAGAGGAGCGCGAGACTGGCGATTCTTTTGTTTCAGCCAATGAAGGTTTCGCAAGCAAGAACGCGTCGAGGGACGCCTCGCAGACAAAACACGCAGATGTATCTGCCATGAGTGTGGACGACGACGAGTACAAGGCTGACCACTCGCGAGACGAGGCTGATGGTACCATGATTCACCACGACATTTCTGATGGAGAGGACCACGACATGGAGGACGAGGATATGGCCGATTTTCCCGAACCACCACACGTGGTATCCGAGCAGTACAGCACTTCTGCTGAAACCCACGACGCGCTCGACACAGCGAACAATCGCACTCTGGCCCCCGAGCCCAAGACCACATATGCTCCAGACCACTCAACAACACCGTCAGGCCCGCCGCCCGCATCTCCCGAAGCCGAAGTCAACGATACGCTCATCCACCATGACGTCGACGACGAAATGGACGTTGACGATGACGTGCGCTCGCCTTCAGACAACTCCAGCCCCGTAAAGCCGCTCGTTAGGAAGAGCAGTCTTACTTTTGCTTCTCTCCCCGCGCGCGAGCCGTTGCTCCCAAAGAAGAGCATGGGCAATCGCGTGTCACGCATCAGTCACCTCGACCAGAACAAGGGCCGCAACAGCCATATGGGTAGATTTACAGGAGGAAAGAGCCTTGGAGGCTCACAGCTTGCGCACCCAGCAGAGACGCAACATGCGGACGACATGGACGTCGATGAAGACCGACCGGAGCTCCAGCGAGAGGAATCAGAAACGACCAAGATCCACAACAAGACTTCCACACAGCGTCTGTATGAGCGTATCAATATGCTCAAGCAGCAGAACGACGCACCGAAACGCATCAGCCAGAATATCGTATCCGCACAATCGCAGCCTGAGAGTTCTACTATGCAAGCAAAGGAAGAGGTCGCACCTGCGCCAGCTTCACAACCAGCATACCCCAGTCTTCCCGCACCGGAAGCCACCCAGGAGGAGGATGACGATGACGACTGGATCTCACCTGTCCGAACAGCAGCAGTCGCCCCCAAGGTATCCAGGCCGGCTTATAACAAAAGCTATACTGCTGATGCTCAGCCATCACCAGCCAAACACGTGCCAGCCAAACTCACCAACCTCACTTCATTTTCAAATCCAGATCTCTCAGCAGTTGCTGAATCAACCACGCCGGTTGGCTCTCCGACTAGTAAGAAATACATGGATGGCCCCCTCAGCGCATCGAAGTCTAAATTGTATTCAGCATTCCGCTTAGCGAAGGAGAAGCTCATCGGGTCGAGTGCTACCAGCGCTCAGGTCAAGATGGACGCTCTCAAAGAAAGCCCTGCAAGACCCAAGTTGCCGTCCTCAGATGCATCAGACGAGGTCTCCAGCAGCCCCAAGCGCGCAGAAAGACCAGTCTCCATCTTCAACCACATGCGCTCGCCTTCCAAGGATTCCATCAAGTCTGGTAAAAGTGCTACTATGCCTGGTAGCCCTCTCAAGGGCGATGGCCGCCGAACTCGCAGCTCTACCGAACGGGAGAAGCAGAAGGAAAAGGAGACCCGTGAGAAGGAGATGCGGGAGACCAAGCAGCAGCAGCGTGCTGAGGACAGGCTCAGGCAGATGCGTGAGAAGGAGCAGAGCAAGGCCGCCGCGCAAGCTCAGAAGGCTAGGGCCATGGGAGCAAAGACACCGACCGCCATGTCCTCCCAGTCGAGCCTGAGAATGCCTACTGCCGTGGCTGCAAACAAGACGCCAGCTCAGGCAGCCCCACAACCGCCCGTGTCTCGCCCTGGCGTCCCTCGATCGAATACTGCCTCTTCCAGAGAACAAGACGTTGACTCTGGCGACGAGATGCCACCCCCACCTCCACCAAAGAGCCTTTTGCCCACTACTAAGGCCACCAAAGCACCTCTTCGAGAGCCCAGGAAACTTGCCAAACCAACAAGCAAAGACGCAATAACCGCGAAAGCACCACAGAAGATCATGGTTAACCTCAAGAGTAGCCAGTATGGCCAAGCCCCACCTCCTGCAGCTCGTCCAGCTGCATCGTCCAGCAAGCCTCTTCCTTCTGCTCCACAGAGCCTGAACAAGTCTGTAGGCCCATCTTCACGACCTCCTCCAGCTGCGTCATCTCGACCGGCTTCAGCTCTGTCTACCAAGTCCGTACCCGGGACCAAGACATCAAAGCCTGTTGCTAAGCCTGCTGCAACCCGAGTTGCCCGAGCGCAAACAGTCGTCGAGAAGCCCAAAATCTCAGCGTCTCAGCCACCTCGATCTGATCTCGGAGCCGCCCGACCTGTATCACGATTGCAGACAGTTCAAGACGCCAACCGTATTAATATCCCTCCTATCAACCCTGCTAAGCCTCCTCCCAAGCGACAGTTCCCTGGTGAGGGTGATGAGACTCTTCATCGTCCGGCCAAGAGACCTTCGCAACAAGCGAAAAATCTCAACCCAACTACCCCAGGCCATGCTCAATTCGCCAAGGGCAAGATTCCTTTCGCTGCCGAGTCTTCATACCAGCCGGCATCCCAAACACCCCACATCCAATACCCCAACGGAGACGACATCAAGCTCCCCGAGATCATGACCGACTCCGAGGATGAAGACTCCGAAAACGAGTTCGAGCAACCAAGCTGGGTTAACACGCCCAACCTACGCGAAATGCTCAGCAACCAGCAGCTCATGGACCCCGAACACATCTTCGGGCCCATTGCACCATTGGAGATGGAGAAGGTGTTCCCCAACAAGGAGCGCCACAAGAGGTTCCGCGAGCGTACTAGCAGCGCCTACTGGGCCAACGACGAAGTCACAGCTGAAGAGAAGCGGAAGGAGCGCGAGGCGAGAGAACGTCTTGTGAGGGATGGCGGATGGACGTATAATCCATCGCCACTTCCTAAACAGGCTGGTTCTTCGAGATGAAATTGTT